TCCACCCCCCCCCCCCCTCGTTCGCTTGCTCGTTCTTTCTCTGTCTCCGTCTCTCTCAATCTCGCTCTTAGTTGAAAAATCCTAATTATTCGATCGAAACCCTAGGGTTTGGATCGATTTTTATTCTATAATTTAGATCTTGAACTTCAAGCTTAATCTCGCAAAGGAAACTGAGAAAAATGCCATCAGTCTACGGAGAAAGATTGACCACATTTGAGGATTCTGAGAAGGAGAGCGAGTACGGTTATGTTCGTAAGGTACTAATTTTTTTTTCGATGCTTTGATTTTTTTGTTCCCTTTTTTCGCTCCCTTTCCTTGGTTGCATGAAGTAAGCTCAAAGGGATTTCGCTGACGTCATGGTTAGTTTTTGATGGGATTTGGTTTTGTTCTTCTTTCGTTGAATTTTGACTTCAAGGATCGGTTTCGTGCTTTTCTAGGTCGTGGATAATTTGATTGTGGATCCAATTTATCTGTTTGGGAGCTGAATTGAAATAATTGGATGTGTACTGTTGATTTCTTTTATGATCTATTTCATTTTGCGATTTTCAATCATGAATTCAATTAGTAGATAGCAGTTTTGGCTGTCAAAGTGTCGGATAAGTTGATGTATTTGTGCTACCTTCATCTATTGTTTATTATTTTTGGAATTTAGTCTACTACATTGCTTTTACTGTGCGTCGTGGCAGTTTCCCTATTATTAGACTTTCTGGAGTGAAGTTTGAAGTATTCAGGTTGATTTTTCGGCTGTATAAGTTGTATGGCATGTGAATCTCACATTAATTCTGGCAATTTCGTTCTGTGGTTTTTGTTTTGAGGTAAAACCGTTCTGTGATTTGTGATAAATGTTTGTTGAAATGTTAATTTAGAGTTAGTTTATTGATATTATATTTTATCTTCAACTGATTGGGGTGCAAATTTCGTTGAGTTTTCTCAAGACTCTAGGCTTAGGTTTTTTTTAAATTGCTTAGCTGTATAGCTGACTATGCTTTGATAAATTTGATCGCATGGGACATAATGACGTCTCTGCTTTGTGCCGCTAGATTGATTTTTTTTTTCTCTGTCTTTCTTACCTGGTGAATAATGCTGTAAGGTGTGGAGTATTCTGTTTGTGTTCTCCAGAGGGAACTAAATTAGCTCATCTACTTTCATTAAACTGCTTGATGGACTTTCTAACACCTGAAGTATAGGAACAAATTGATTTTATGACAAATTATCTTCCAATATGTTATTTAAAAAAAATTATCTTCCAATCAGTCATGCTGTCTCTTATGTTTCCCGTGCTTTTTTTTTTCTATGATTGGCGTGATCCAAGAAGCACGAGTTTATTGCTTTTACTTTTATCTCATCAAGTGCCATTTAACAGGTGTCAGGGCCAGTCGTGGTCGCAGATGGCATGGCTGGTGCTGCAATGTATGAATTAGTCCGTGTTGGACATGATAATTTGATTGGTGAAATAATTAGGCTGGAAGGAGATTCTGCAACAATCCAAGGTTCTTTAATTCTTCTTTTACCTTGTTCTTTACTACTTTCTAGGATTAGTTCGGAGGTAAGATTGGTCTTTTTGCAGAAATAAGTAACTCTAAAAACTGACAAGAAAATTTTTGTGTTCTTGCCTCAGTTTATGAAGAAACTGCAGGTCTGATGGTTAATGATCCTGTTCTACGGACACGCAAGGTTTGTTCATCATTGCCATATCCTGATTTTTTTTGCTGATGCATTGATGACAATTAACTTATGCTCGATTGTTGATTTTATAGCCTCTATCAGTTGAGTTGGGACCGGGAATATTGGGAAACATTTTTGATGGAATTCAGGTGCAAAAAAGTTCACTTGCTGCTTAAATACAATGTATTATTAGAAATAATTTTTTTACGTGGCTTTCATTTGAATAAGTGTTAATCTTCGTGCTAAGCCTGTAAATGTTATTGCATTCTTAGTCCCCAGTATATGGTGCTAACCTCTTTGTTCTGATATATGGTTTCTTTCTTTCAATTAAAAAAGAGGCCTTTGAAAACTATTGCAAAAAGATCTGGTGATGTCTATATTCCTCGTGGTGTATCAGTACCAGCCCTTGACAAAGATACACTCTGGGAGTTTCAGCCTAAAAAAATAGGTAATCCGTGTAAATTCAATTATAGCTCCTTAGATGAAATTATGAGCAGTTGGTAATTTGCACTTTGACCTTGGACTGTCTATATGATTTAACTTAATCTACTATTGCAGGTGAGGGAGATCTTCTTACTGGAGGAGACTTGTATGCTGTAAGTTTGTGAGGCTTCAATTTAGTTTTTCAGTTGTGATAGTTTGTTGGGTAAAATATGATTGTCTTTGAAATATATCTATTTTCGCACTGTCATCGAGGAATGCTTTAAAATGCAGACTGTCTTTGAGAATAGCTTGATGGAACACCATGTTGCTCTTCCTCCTGATGCCATGGGGAAGGTTGTTTACATTGCAGAACCTGGTCAATATTCCCTTAAGGTTTGTTACTGACCTTTCTTGCGATTTCTTTTTAGGACTTGCAATTCTTTCATATTTCTAGTCAATATTTTTCTGAAAAGCTTTATGTTAGTGATTTTGTAAATGCTTTGCTTTCTGGATGATAATGTTATTCTAAATTTCTAAGACTTATCTGAAACTGCATAAATGCAAGGATGCTAAGAGGATTTTGTACCCTTTCAATACAAATGAAATAAAAAAGATGTAGCTGCAAGATGTCAAGCCTTCTTTGAACATATGTACTCGTGGTGGGATATGTGCTCTGATTTTTCCCTTATTTTCAGGATACTGTTCTGGAGCTTGAATTTCAGGGTGTGAAGAAGCAATTCACCATGCTTCAGGTTTGAACAGTTTGTTAATATGTTTTTTCCTCGTCAATCCATGTCCAGCAGTTGGAATGGCTGGTGGATTCTTAACCTGTTTAATGGCAGAACCTAATAGGACAGGAATTACATCTCAGAAGTCTTGACCAATATCTATATGTATAGAAACAGCCAGTTTTCTTATCTGTTTCATGCTTCATTCATTTCCAGACTTGGCCTGTCCGTACACCAAGGCCTGTGGCATCAAAGCTTGCTGCTGATACACCTTTACTTACTGGACAGGTAATTAATGTAAAGGCTGTACATGTTGGTTTCTTTCTTATCACTGCTGCACATTCTGACGTGGCTTTGTTTGATTTCAGCGGGTTCTTGATGCCCTTTTCCCCTCAGTTCTTGGTGGAACCTGTGCCATTCCTGGGGCATTTGGTTGTGGAAAAACTGTCATTAGTCAAGCTCTTTCTAAGGTCAGCTTGCTGCAACTCACTTGGTGCTTACTCAATGTACAGGATATTTGAATCTTGAGGTGATTCCCTGAGATTGCATCCTGCTTGTGTGCAGTACTCAAATTCGGATACTGTTGTTTATGTTGGTTGCGGTGAGCGAGGAAATGAAATGGCAGAAGTATGTATTTTCCTTAATTTAAACATTAGTTATTTTGCAGTTTTTCAAGATCTTTGTAATGCTGACCGATTATTTAGGTTCTTATGGACTTCCCACAATTGACAATGACATTACCTGATGGGCGTGAAGAATCCGTTATGAAGCGTACCACACTTGTGGCCAACACTTCTAACATGCCTGTGGCTGCTCGTGAGGCTTCAATTTATACGGGTATGCATTTTGTCTTTTTTCTAAAATAACAGTAACAGATGGTGAAAACAACTAGTACCACCGGGAAAGGTCTAGTTTTGGGGAAAACTTAAGCAAAGGTCTTCCTAGCCATTTTTTTTTGTTTCTATAACAGAATTAGTTCCACATGTTAGAAAAATCTTTGGCTTGATACTCTTGAACTTTTATCATTGTTGATCAACAGGAATTACTATAGCTGAATATTTTAGAGATATGGGCTACAATGTTAGTATGATGGCAGATTCAACCTCTCGCTGGGCAGAAGCATTGCGTGAGATCTCTGGACGTTTGGTAATGTTCTTAATGCTAGTTTATGCAGCAGACTAACATCATTTCCTTTTCATGATTTTTCTTGTTGGCAGATTCCTTTTATTGAGGATTCTTATTTCAGATTTTTCTGTAATGCTCATATTTTATATATTATATAATTTTATTGTTTGCTTTTCTTGGTTGTTCTACTTAAGAATGCTGTAAATTTCTGTTTTAACATGCGTGTAACTCCTTTCTGAAAAACAATTGTTAGAGCACAAGATCGGTTTCTTAGCAAATTGGTTTTATGTAAGTTGATAGAAGAATTAATCACTTTGGTTTTATTTACTTGGGGCATTATTGCTACGATTAGTGGGCACTCAGCATTCAACATTACAATCCTAAATTGTTTAGTCTATTAAACATGAGCTGATTGTTTCTTCACTGCTATGAGTGCTTGAGAATGTTGGTAATACTTAGGTTGCATGAAATATGCGGATCAGTAGCATAGAGTGTTTGGTTGGAATTATTTTCTTTATATCAAAACAAATGCGAAGGAGATGTTCTTTTGCAAGGTAGAGTTTGTGTGCATCTGGTACTCTTGTGGTTAAACTGGAATCTGTCAGGTTGGACTTTTTTCTATAACTGATGACACTATTTTTTCCCATCCGATGACCTATTCTAAACTAATTTAAATTCACTGGAGCTCAAGTTTCAGAAAACATCTTTTAGGACCCTACTAGTCCGTACAAACTGGTAGCTCTTCTTTATTTAATGTTTAGGTAGATATCCTTTTTGTACTTGGTTCATCTTTTTGTGAACTCTAGGCCTATAGTTTGCAGACCATCTAGGTTTGTATATCAAGGTAGTTTTATGTTGATAACATCATAATTCATGAAAGGAAAACTCCTGTAATTCAAGAGTTTCTGATTCTTCCTCCTTATTTTTAGAAGTATATTGGGCCCTATATGATATATACTATTGTTTAATTGCCTAGTGAGAATTTTATTTTAGCCTCTCTTTGACGAATTTGAAGAATAACATGGATACTGGTAGTCCTAGTCTCTCACTGCATTTTTTTTATTTATTATTCTTTGTGAATATATCCTAATAGCCAATGCCTTCAGGTCTCGTCTCTCTAACATCAAGTTAAGATTTCAAAATCTTCCACTGCATCTTTTTCTGTGTTTAGAATGTCTGGTTTATAAACTTTAGGATGGTGTTTATTCATTTTCATCTCCTTCTTGGTTCTGTATGGGTACTTCTCGAAGTATATTTTAGTGAAAGCTTCCTGGAAATTAGCATTGTGTATGAATTGCAGGCTCATGATTTAATTGACATGTTTGTAGTGTTTTGAGTGGCCAACAATCTCTTAAAAAAATGTTTGTTTGGCAGAACCGTTGTTAATGTCTTGTCTGTAAATGGTATTTGACACTGAAAAGATATGCCACATGATACATAGGCGTCTTGAAAATTTTGGTGGCATGAATGGGTTGCATAGTGCAATCTCTTTGCATAACCAGCTCTATATTTCTTGCAATTGATATTAAAGATAAGAAGCATGGGTTACTGCATTGGTTATGTTAACTTGTGTACATGTTCAGTTATTTACTCACTGATTTGTTCTCAACGTAACATCTGTTTTTGTTTCTCTTGTAGGCCGAAATGCCTGCTGATAGTGGATATCCTGCTTATCTAGCAGCACGTTTAGCTTCATTTTATGAACGCGCTGGTAAGGTAAAGTGTCTTGGTGGGCCAGAGCGTACTGGTAGTGTCACAATTGTTGGTGCTGTTTCTCCTCCTGGTGGAGATTTCTCAGATCCTGTGACATCTGCAACTCTTAGTATCGTCCAGGTAAAGACAAATTCCTATATGATTATTTTTCCTTGTAGAAAAGTAATTTTACTCTAGATACACTGTTTAAGCCTCAGCTTTGTCTTCTTTTTTTTTTTTTTTGGTTCACTGAGCATGAGAGTGAGTGTGCAATTGGATGGGAACTTGAACCCCTGATGTTAAGTCCCGGAGAGGATGTGTGTCACTGAACAAAACTGGTTCAGGCAAAAATCAGCAGCTTTTTGTTTTGAGCACAACGCTAGCTTCTTCTTAGATACATGTAATAATGACTCTCGAACAAGCACCTTACATTGCATTAGTTGGATTAAAGTTGCATGCAACTGGGTTAATCCAATATCTGACTATGAATGATTAAATCCGCATTAACTATGGTTTTATGTATTATCATAGGGACAGACATTCTTGTTCCTTTTTCTCTCTTTCTATTGAGTTAAGTGTTCTGCAGGTTTTCTGGGGGCTAGACAAGAAACTTGCCCAGAGGAAGCATTTCCCTTCTGTAAACTGGCTTATTTCCTACTCAAAGTACTCATCGGTATGTAGAGAATCTGTTCCCTGCCTCTGTAAGCTCTTCTGCTTACCTTAATTCTTAGCACATGAAAAGAATTCTTGACTCAGGAAATCTCTAATGTTTGGCAGCTTTTTTTTTTTTTATTTTTACATGCTACGAATTCTAAATATTTACTGGATTCTTTCTCTCTTTTTTTAGGCATTAGAGTCTTTCTATGAGCAGTTTGATCCAGATTTCATTAACATTAGGACCAAGGCCAGGGAGGTGTTGCAGAGAGAGGATGACCTGAATGAAATTGTCCAAGTACGTTTTGCTATTTGTAATCAAAATTGATTATCATGAACTTGTCATAGAGCAAAGTGTTGCTTTAATCTCCTGTAACTAAAAAGATATGATTATTCTTGCAGCTTGTAGGAAAGGATGCTTTAGCTGAAGGAGATAAAATTACCCTTGAAACTGCCAAGCTTTTGAGGGAGGACTATCTTGCTCAGAATGCATTTACCCCGTAATTCTCCCGTTTTACTGTTAATTCTATGTAAATCTATCCTTATTGATGTTGCAAATTTTATCCATTGTCTTCCTGAAAAAGTATTTCTTCATTTTTGTTCGGATGAATATGACAGATATGACAAGTTCTGTCCTTTTTACAAGTCTGTATGGATGATGCGGAACATCATTCATTTCTATAATCTGGTTAATCAGGTAAAGTGTTTGTTCCACCTCTCCCCCAGTCGCATATTAATTGGTAATTCAAATGTTTGCATGTCCGTAGTAGGTTGGTTCTGTGAGTTAATGGACCAATGTGGTAAGGATCACGCATACATTGGACATGATTTCATGTCTAGTGTGGTTGATCTGCAACCTGTGTGTGGTTTTTAGATTCTTCATGTAGTTAAATTTAATATGCAGGCGGTGGAGAGAGCAGCTGGGATGGATGGACAGAAGATAACATACAGTCTTATTAAGCATCGATTGGGAGATCTGTTTTACCGGCTAGTGTGAGTAAAAAAAAAAAACATCTTTCAGAAACTTTGGAACTGTCAAAATAGGCATGTGAAAAGGCTTGATAATTGATTTACATGCAACATGGTTATTTGTTGGAATGCAGGTCCCAGAAATTTGAGGATCCTGTAGAAGGTGAAGAGGCTCTTGTTGCAAAGTTCAAGAAGCTGCACGAGGATCTGACTGCTGGTTTCCGTGCGCTGGAGGATGAAACTCGATGAAAGTAATCGAGGTTTTTGTTTGTAAAATCCTGGTGGCAGGTGTAATCATCTATGGGGACAGCAACGGTTGATTTGGTCTGCTTGTTTGAGTGTATGATGGAGCTGAGTTGGTAGGATATAATGGATTACTTGGTAGTGTTTGGTTGGGTTCATTTATTTTAGATGAAGAGTTGATACAAGTGGGTTTCACTTCACTGTGTAACAGTGTTAATCTTGCCGGTTACGGTTGCGTTTTTTGACAATAATAATGGGACGAAAAATTGTCAAATTATTTTTGTTGTATTTATGAAAATAAGCTATGTATTCATTATTGAATCATTTGTTGGTATTGGGTCTTGTTCTTTGAATTATTTGATTGGATCTCTCTCTCTCTCACTCTCTCTCTCTCTCTCTCTGTATGTGTAAATGTATAGCAGAATTGCATGGGAAGGTAGCTGCTCTGTCCTCCCTCGGCCATAATATTTGCTTGGCAGTTAAAAGGTACGTATTAATGGATAGGAAATTTAGTATTTATATGTTGCAAAAAATATCCAAGTCGGATAAAAATGATACTTATTTAGTGGAACAGATTACTAAGAGTTTGAATATTACGTTTAGACAGATACTGATATTTTTTGCAATCCTGATGATGCAAGCTTTACCATCTTGATTGTTTAAAATGAAAAGATATAGTTAAAAGCGTTACGTTTTCCCTAAATTTTTGTGATTTGAGGGCATTATTATTGTTGTATGTCTTTACCATTGAAAGCCTTGTGCTTTGTTTATCTTAAGTATAACCGTAGAAAGGCACTGCTGTGTGTGTATTTATATTGAACATACTGTGGTTGCTTTAAATTCCATATTCTGTCGTGGAAATTTTGTCGCGAGATGACATCGTAATGTGTACATTTATTTAAATATGATTATAAATCGTGTAGTTGCTCCAAATTTTTTCATCAAAAGACAATAAAAACAAAAAAGTTGACAAATTTTTCTTTTTTTTATTAGTCTTTTTGTTTTTCATCTGCTTCACTTTTTATTTTATATGTTTATTCTTTTCCTCTCTGTTTTTTTTTTATTTGATCTTTCTATCAAAAGTTTTAAGTGAAGAGGACCACAATTACTTTTTCTAGAAGATATGAATATTTGTATATGCTTTTGTTATCTTAATTTTTTTTTGGAAAATGAGAAATTGATCACAAAATTGGTCATGTAAGATAACGCTAATACTAATAAAAATAAATTTTATTTTCTTAAAATTCAATCAAATAAAAAAATGTCTTTACGAAATTAGTTCATAATTCTAATATAATCATTTATCATAAACTCAGAAATCATAGTTATCAATTAAATCTATATTTTGAAAATATTAACTATTAATTTTCATGGTACAATTAGGTTATATAATATTATTATTGTAGTTTTTGAATTATTTATTATATTAAAATTAAATTTTACATTTTTTCGTTATGATTTACTTCTTAAATTTATAAGATTGTTGTAAGTTAGAATATTTTTTTACCTCTGTATATTTAAAAGATACATATCGGAACTTATTTTCAAAGTCCGAGAGAGAGAGAGAGAGAGAGAATGCGTGTTTGTGCGGGAACAGGTTCCAAATTCTGTAGCAAGCAGTCGCATGTGAGAGACTGAAAGTGATTCCCTTGGTAACAGATTGCTTCCAGTACGATTATGTTATAATATGTATGTATAGGTAAACTAAATCATGTGGTTTCAATTTTTATTATATTAAAGATGGGTTCTTTTCATTATGTTAAGACAAATCTATTATCCATTTATATACACACACACACACACACACACACACTAAAAAATTGAAAGTGCGAAAACATCTTTTTCTCTCTCAACCTTATCTTTCATTTGTATCTCTTCAATTCATTACCTACCAGTTTCTTCAACCCAAACCAATGACTTACTTGCTTAGCTTCCATATTCCTCACTCGCCAGCATTCCCTAAACTCTCATCATCGTCTTCTTCTTCTTTCAAGCCAAAAAAGTTATGGTCCTCTTCACACTCCAAATCAGAAATCAACTCCAATAAATTAACACTAGCAGCAAGGGACACAATCATTGACTTTGGAATGCACAAGGGAAAATTGCTGGGCACCCTGCCCTCAACATACCTCAGATGGGTCTCCAAGAACCTCCGAGCTCAAGACTCCGAGCACTGGGCGAAGCTCGCTGACGAGGTTCTCAGGGATCCGATCTATCAGGACAGAATAGAGTGGGAGTTTGCAGAGAGAGTCTTGCATGGAAACAGTGCAGCCATTAGTATGGCTAGAAATGAAAATGCTGTTTCCATGCTGCTGGATATCAGTAACAGATTTGGTTGGGACAATGAGGATAAAGCTGGGTGGGCTGAGGTTAACTTTGAGCTTTTGGGTACAAGCAAAGGTGGGAGGATACCAAGACTTTTGGATGGTAAGACAAACAATATTGCACTAAAGGATAAACTAATGGAACAGGAGAGAGAAAAAGCTGAGAGCGTTTTATCAGAGAATAGCAAAAGGAGGAGAGAGCGGAGGCAGAGAACCAGGATAAAGAGAAAAGGAGAGTTGGAGGAGAAAATGGCAACCAGAGATGAGAGTAATAAGGATGCAAGTGACGATAACTCATTGACAATGGAGGTCGAGAATCCATTTCCTGGACGTCAAGCTCTATTGAAGAAGGTACTTGACCGAAGAAGGTTTCTGTAATTTTGCTTTTTTTTTTTTTTGGAATAAAAAGATGCTGTATCCTGCTTTGATGACACAGTTTTGCAATAATGAGAAGATGAGCCCATAGAATGATTGACAATAAAGATTAGAAACTTACCGTGTGTTACTCCATTACAGCCTCCATCAAGATCAAGAGAAAAGAATCTGCAAAAAGAAGAAAGTTACATATACAATTGTCAGTTTTCTCCAGCATCAATTAAATTTTTTATGATTCTTTGGTACTCTTAGAGTAAATTAAACAATAAGAAAGAAAGAGTTCCTCTCATTGAAAAAGACCCAGTTCAATCAACATCCCGATAAGAACCACGGGAGAGCATACTAGCAGTGCCACAGTGATAGAAGATCTACACCTTAGAGTAAATTAAACAATAAGAAAAAAGAGTTCCTCTCGTTGAAAAATATCAGTACAATCAAGATCCCAATAAGAACCACGGGAGAGCATAGTAGCAGTGCCACAAAGCTCTATATATCAAAAATCAATAATAATGCTGTACAATTGACAGTCCCAAAAATTATAGAGATGCCAACTACAATTACCTTTTGACACTGGTCAATCATGTATGTAAATTAAAATCCTGGTAAGTCTAGTGAATTCTATACAATAATGGATGCTACTTCATTTATCATATTAAATGCGATGTAAGGATAAATAAACACGTATTCATACATTAAAAAAATATCAATTATTGATAACAAAACAGACAAGGTGCTCTTTTGGCCCGAAGCCATTAACATGGCATGAATCAAACATGAAATTCTTGAGAAAAACTCATTTTGATGAAACCTGAACCCATATGACATCAGAATGACATGAATTAATCTACAGATGAGCAATGTAAGCAAATTTATCCAATTTGAATCCATTTTACCTACTGGATTTTCGGCTCATGTGGAACCTACAATTTTGATCAACTTTTTATTCTCTCATGGAGATCATGAATTTAAAAAATGTTGCCACACAACTTTTACGCTACATCACTTCAAAACTTGAAATTTAGTTTTTGCAGAGTGAGAACTAAAATTACATAAAGGGGAGCAAGCTAAAATTTAGTATTATAAATTATTGTTATGATATTTATGTAAGTTTATTAACTTTTATATGCTGTTTATATTCTATACTTAATTTAGGAATTTGTTAGCAAGAACTGTGTGTTACTTCGATTGTATTTTTTATTTTCTTTATCAAACTAGTGGTGTCTTACTAGCAATAGGATAATTTACTAAATTGTTTTTTGTTGATCTTTTCCAGTGTCAGACGTTTAGTAAGTCCAAAGGTAGTGACAACTTAGCGGCCAACTTGTCTCAGTTCTCACTGATCCAAGAATGGTGGCAACTCCTCATTGGACCAGTAAGTAGGTAAGTTTCTCTCGGTTCTTTTCATTCATATTTGCTATATAACACAGTTGATATAATAAAAAAGAAGGATAATAGTCATGTCATTTTGCAATAGACTAATAAGCATATTTCTCCTGCAGCTGTGCTTTCTACTCTATTCTCTTCTACCCTTTGTCTTCTTCGTTTCTTCCTTCTTTTTCCTCTCGACCATTCCCTTTTCCCTCATCTTAGTTTAGGCTTCCTCATCCCCTTCTATTATCCTCATGTTACTCTTGTACTTTACTCACTAGCATTGACAATAATATACTAGTTAGTAAATATGTTATGGTGAGCGGTGGTTCTATATACGAAGGCCTACCTATAGTTTCGCGATGTTCCTGCAATTAGAGATCCCTAAGAAGTATATTAATATGGTTTATAAGTCATTTCCTATTTACAAACCAACTCCAGCAGAGCTGGTTAGAACCTCATTCAGATGTTGAGATTTCAGTTGCTGCCATGAAGCAGCTTTTCATGTAACCGGAAAAAAAGTTCATCTCTTATTTGAAATTTATATCCCCAGAAACCAGATAAATATAACTTCTATTCATAGGAGAACCATAACTACAGCTCAGATAAGACAATCAAATATCAAATTTTCTTCTAACCACTTCTGTGCTGAAAAAACTGTTATTCTCAACGTCTCTGACTGACCAAGTTCACTGTGTCAGTCGGTCCATGTTCGTACAAAGGAAAAAAAGAAATCTGTCCCTCCATCTCTCATAAAAACTGAATTGACAAAGGGAAGCCAGATTGAGCATGCTACAATACGTTTGGGCAAAAGAAACTAGAAAAGTCATGCATCTCCGAACAAAATCATTTCATAGAGAAATATAAATCTTAACTGAGTCATGTAAAAGTTAGAACCCGATAAAATATGGATGGAGTGTAACAGCATGAAAACCAAGAAGCAAATGCATGACTTATCACAAACAGGACATCTTAAATTGTAAAAATTCATTGGAGCATAAGTCCAGCAGTCCCAAATACCTGAAGGCTTAATAGTCGTAATTATTTTGCTGCTTATCTTACTGATGCCCTTTGAACATACTTCTATTGAAAAATGGATTGTTGCATATTTTATTGCCTATCAGGGATCTATATATACAAGTCCCTAAAAATCATACAAGGAAATGCAACTAATTACAAAGATTATAAAGATTACGATGGACATATTATTAATATACCCTTTAACCTACTTTTACATTTCTCAACACTCTTCCCCAAACTAGTAAATAGATATTATTCATTCCCAACTTGCCAATGATAGTCTAAAATCTGGGATTACTGAATTCCTTGATTAATGCATCATCAAGTTGCAAAGTAGTAGTCATTTATGGTGCATATCAATCCACTATACAACTTCTCCTTGATAAAGTATCGATCAATTTCAATATATTTCGTCCTGTCATTTTGTATAGGGTTGTGAACAATATTTATTGCTAACTTAATATCATAATAAAATCTCATAGATCTATCCCACATAACCTTTAAATCTTCCAAAACCATCTTCAACAAGAGGAGCTCAGACACCTCTTGGGTCATAACCCTAAACTTTGACTCGGCACTGAATCCGGATACTATATTCTACTTCTTACTTCTCCAATTCACTAGGTTTCCTCCAAGAAAGGTGTAGTATCCAGATGTAGATCTTCTATTGACTAATGAACCTACATAGTTAGCATCCATATATATTTCAATGAGCAGTCTATTATTTCTCTTGAACATAATTCCTTTTCTTGGAGTACCTTTCAAGTAATGGAGTATCTTATAGGCAGTTTGCAAATGCACTTCTTCGCGCTTATGCATAAACTGACTCATTATATTCGCTATATAAGTAATATATGAATTTGTATGTGACAAGTATATTAACTTTTCCACTAACTTTGATAAATTTCCTTCTCCATCTTGGGGTCTTCCTTCGCCAATTCCAATTTGTGATTATATTGGTATTAACAGGTTTACATGTCAGTTTGTTAGTCTTCTTTAAGAGATCTAAAATATATTTTTGTTGAGATATAAATGTTTTAGATCTAGAGTAGATCACCTTGATCTTGAGGAAGTATTTAATCTTTCTAACTCTTTAATATCAAATTCCTTAGTTAGGCACTGGATGAGGATCTTCTTCTCATCTTCATCATTTCCTGTAACAATTATATCATCTACATACACCAGGACGGCTGTGATTCCTCCTGCCTCCGAATGCTTGACTAATAGGGTATGGTCTCCCAGACTTTGTTTGTAGCTCATGGATAGCATTATTCTATCAAATCTCCAAAATCATGTTTGAGGAAACTCTTTAACTTCATACAGCGCCTTTTGAATTTGCATACTTTATCCTTCTTTTCTCCTTTGGTAAACCCGGGGGAATTTCCATATAAATTTTCTCTTCCAATTTCTCATGTAAAAAGACATTTTGTACATCAAATTCTTACAACTGCCAATTAAAATTAGCACTTAGGGATTGTAAACACGTACTATATTTGTCTTTAGAACAGGTGCAAATGACTGTTGATAATCAATTTCGTATATCTAATTATATTCTTTAGCTATTAGTCTTGTCTTGTATCTCCTAATAGTTCCATCAAGCTTATATTTGATAATGATTACCCATATGAAATCTGCAAGTCCTTTATGGTAGATCCACCACCTCGTAAGTCTGGTTTTTCTCAAATGTTTGTATTTCAATATTCATAGTATCTTTTCATTTCTCATTGGTCAAAATCTCAGATAAATTTTTTGAAATGTATACTGTGTTCAGTCTCATAAGAAATTTTTGTGAGCTAGGAACTAGTTTTCAAATGATACAAAATTGAAATTTGAATAGAGTGGATACTTGGTGTATTTTCTAGTTCATTTTCTAAGAGCAATTGGTAAATTGGTATTAGAGAGACAATGATTCTCAAAGTTTAACTCATTTCTAGCATTTGTCTCAAAATCTTGAATCTGTTTTTGAACAAAATTGGAGTTTTTCCTTCTTGAACTCACCTAGATAAAACATGGGTCCTATATAATTATGGCCCCAAATTGAGTTTTAATCACGTTATGAAACTAAGAAATAACACAACTAAGTTCCATTTTAGATTTCAGTAGAAAAAACTAGCCAAGTAACTTGAATACAACCATAAATAGAGAAACAAACCACCATGTCCTGATATGTTAGAAATATTAAAGGAATCCTAGACATCACTATAAATCAATTGAAAGGGAAAATCACTTCTTTTATTACTAGGAGCAAAAGTTACAAATCAGTGTTTTACTAGTTCACATATATTGCTATGTAAATTTTCATTATTGCAATTAGAAAATAAAAAGGAAAACATGACCGTAAGGTGGAGAGATAAGGATGTTATAATCTCTACTGGTACAATCATAGTTTGTCTAATATGGTGGCAGAGAGAACAGTGCTGGGTACATCAATTGTATCTAGGAAGTATAACCTTCTTAGCATGTTCAATCATCCTACTCGAATTCTAATCTTCAAGAAAATGAGAAAAGATCATTTTGCAATTAAGGTCATGAGATAATTTGGTTGCTGATATAAAATTTGTATGCAATTTGGGGACATGAAAAACATCCAAAAGAGTGAGGTGGAGATTAAGTTTTATGGTGTTAATTTCTGCTACTAGGATTAGTGAACCATCAGCAGTAACAATCTCTCTATTGTTGGGACATGGAGCAAAGTGCCAAACAATTTAAGGGAATTTATTATATGATCAGTAGCTCATGAATCCACAATCCATGATAATATAAGAAATTTATTTGAGACATTTCAGCCATGGGAAATAAGAAATATACCAGAGTGTGCTATGAACCCTGTAACTTTAGGTTTTTTAGGTTACTCAAGCCGGGTTCGCGGTTGCTTAATTTCTGCCTTGAAATCATAGGTCTAACTGCTCTTTCCCCCTAAGCTAAATGTTTGCGTCCCTGGTTTTCCTCGTATCTTCAATCCTTACTTGAGATGGTCGGCTTCCCATGAAGCTTAAAACATTTTTCCTTGGTGTGCCTTGGTTTCATGTAGAATGTACACCAACAGCAGAAGTCTCAGTGTAATTTGGTTCCTTCCCTAATTTTCAAAGTTAGGAACTTTTACTTACTATGGAGGAGTCTTTCAGTTCTACAAGTATCAAACATAATTCTCCTTCTACTTTCCTCTCTATTGATTAAGGATACTACTTTATTGAGAGGCAACATATCTTCTTTTTCTAGAATTTGGACTCTTACCTTATCATATTCCTCATTGAGTCCTGCCATAAATTATTAAGCTCTTTCTTTTTCAACAAATTTCTTCAGAGCGGCTACATTTTTGCTGCTTTTTATGGTGATACTATGTTAACGGCGAGCTCCTGCCATATGTTTTTCAAAAGTTTGAGTACTCTATAACTGTCTTGTTTACCTTATTTAGTTGTCCAGACTTTGACATTCAAATTTTATAACATCTTTCTCCTTGAAATAGGTCTCCTGGATTGAATCCCAAACATCAAAAGTGGGATCTCCTACCTCTGGTCTAGTGCCTAGGAGATGGTTTAGCTTTCCTCGATCCTTGAGAGTGGTTGAAATCAATTATAATCAGGTAAATCTTGCCATTGAAGCAATAGCCAACTTGAATTGGTTGAAATTTGCCATTGTTTTGTGCTGATATTCCCATTTGGAAGTTTGTACTGGTATACTGAGATGTAACCTCCGACATTATTCAAGAACTTTTAAGGTTTCCTGAACAGAGCGGTAACAACTAGTGGCTGCCTGAAGAGGTGCAGGTATGGCTAGAGTGCAGCAACTTTCACAGTAGAGGGGCAGAATCACAGCTGGAGCTGCTGGGGCAGAGTGTGGCTGGAGCTGCAGAGGTCCTGGCCACTGTATGTAGTTGAGCAGAAGGTGGCGTACGGACGGAGAGAGATGTCGTGCAGGTTCTGGATAGAGCAAGGGAGTGATGGCCATGCTGTGTGGATAGAACATGGACATGTGGCTGGTGGAAACTGGACGCGTGGCTGAGGCGCGACTGAGTTTCTGGAACCGGCAATGAAGGTCAATTTTCATGGCTGATTGCAAATTTGTGGTGGCTGGCTTTTTTGGTGATGGAGGGAAGTGGCGATGAAGGCTGCTCTCTAAAGGTTTTCTTATCTCGTAAGGTTTGTAAAAAAGTATTGAGTTTTTTTAACCTACAGATCTGATACAACGTGGAAGAATGAATTGTTATATATTTTGTTGAATATTACAGACTTATATATACAAATCTTTAGCAATCATACAAGGAAACCAATTAATTACAAAGATTACAAAGGATACATTATTAATATACATTTTACCCTATTTTCCATACAAATACACTTCCCAAAAACTTCAAAGACACGAGCCTATTTCTCTTTTGACAACTTCAGAAAAATGCTTTAGCTTCATATCAAGGCCTCCGGAGAACCCAGATCTGCAAACTGGAAACGAGGTTTACCATTACTAGATATAGTTCTTTCCTTTTTCATTTCTTTGCTTTTCCATAAGTTTTTTTCCATTATTAGCAAGCATTGATAACGCAGTAATTATTTGAGTCATTGGCTGCCAGCTCAAAACATCATTTAGAGTTTCATATTTGTTTAAAAGGCTGAACAGCAAATCATATCTTGCAGATCTTCGTAGCTGTATGCTTTCAGATGACGTGACGAAAACAAGTATAAGCACACAGTGTGAAAGAAAGAGACTCAATAAAATGCCTGATATCCAAGACTCCTGTCATGCTGCGACTGATCAATAAAAAATTACTTGAACAAAACATGTCAATGATGGCGTTTCCTTATTGGCAGGGGAGGAGCTTTGTAAAAGATTGAAAAGTTTTCTGCTAGGGTTTTGAAGCAAATGAACGGTAAAGATTGAAAGCAGAAAATGAAGGACTAGATGAAGAGCACGATGGGACGCAAGACAAGTAGACGGTGGAAATTAAAAGATGCCATCTGTTGAGGACAGCTGTAAAAAGTAGTTTATGGAATTTTTTGTTTTTGGGTTGTTGAGTATTTGTTAGGGTTTGTTTCTCTTTCCTCAATCAGAGTATTCCTCTTTCTCTGTATGTATATATATGCACATCTGTACATAATAAAGACTATAGAAGAAAATATTATAAAACCCTTTTTTCACTGTAATTTCTACATGGTATTAGAGTAGTGCCTGTATTAAGCACTGTTCCACTAAATTTTACTACTAACCTACCTTTACAATGGCCAACCCAAATACTGCCATAATATACTGACCCTCCAAAGCTCAGATCAGCCTGAATGCAGCTGGTCTCTGCACCTCTTGATGGCTCCA